TAAGCCGATTAAGTATTGGAATCCATCTGCTGTTATCTGAATAGTTACCATTACTCCGTTCTTCCTGACAATAATTAAATAGCATACATCTGCTCATCTAGAAGAGAGATCAACTCATTAAGATAGAGGTTAAAAAGAAAAGTGGGGAAAAGTTATATCACCCTTCCCAAGAGGATTTACATTTGAAATTGGATGATGAGAAGAGGTTAACACTTGGCCCAAAGAAAAATATCTCTAATGGAAAAGTTTCAGATATTGTTATGCTTAATTAAACAATCTTCCTGTTCTCCTATCTTATAGGTAGGGTAGAAAGAAAAGGGAGCATGATGGTAAATGATTAGAAAACAAGGTCTGACATTATAAAGAAAAATATGATCGCTTCCATTGGAATTAAATTTAAGTTAATTTTCATGCATTGTAAAACAAATGCAATTCTGAGACTTGAAAATTCTAATAATCTCCTTTCTTTCCTTTTACAGGTGTATCCTCTTTAAGTGTTCAATTTGCCAAACTCCCAAAAGGATTAAAGTATTTAAATTTATCTAAAACCTCATTATCACCTAAAGGTATAGTATTTCTTATTCACTTAACATTGTGTCTATAATATTTTCACTGCACCTATACTACCTTAAATAGTTAGAATTATTATTTTGATCTATACCTGCATTTATTTATTTATTTTCCATTTACTAATCTCATTTTTTTTAAAATTTCATTTTAATAGATTTAGGGAGATAAAAGTTGAATTCTGTTACATGTATGTATTGTGTGGTGGTGGAGTCTGGGCTTTTGGTGAACTCATCACCTGAGGAATTATACCTGAATGTAAAGATAAATGTATTACATTACTCTGACAGTTTGAAGATAAAGGCATTATGTAATTCAAATTCTGATGCTTTAAAGTTAAGTGATTTCATAGTAGAAAATAATTTTGAAATACACATACAGTCTTTAACTTTTTAAACTTTGAGTTAAGGAACGCTCACCTGGCTGCCTCGAGCCTCATGCCTCACCTTCCTAGAGGCACCTGGTTGTGTTTCTTTGGTTCATCCTTAGAAAAGCAAGTAGGCCTTTCCAACTGTCAGATGGGCTATCTGCTTTCCAGAAAACTGTTGGGCCTAACTGCTGCGTCACTGCTGTAGCTCCACACCTTCTATTTCTGTCTCTTGAGGTTGCCTTATCTTCTTCCCGGATTCATTTCTAACCTCCCTCATTCCTCTCATTTACCCAGTTACTCATCATATCCTGTCAATTCTATTATTTTGTCACACCAGCACCTTCAGAAATAATATTAGAAATTACCTTGCATTCATTGTGCCTTAATGTAATGTGTCTTCATATTCTACTCTGGATACCTGAAAAGTTTTTCTTGTATCCCCAAATATTCTTGTAGAGCTTCAGTTTATTTTATAAAACCTTTATCTGTGTTCATCTCTGCTGAAATGTGTTCCCTGTTCCTGAGGCCACATTAGAATCAATTAATTTTCCCTTTTTTTACTTCAAGATTATATATATATACCATTATTGTGTAAGTATTGTGTCTTTCCCACTAGCCTGTTGTGGCCTGTGCTTCTTTCATCTCTGTATCTGTAGTACCTGGCACAGTGTCTGGACAACTCTTCAATGAAAGTTTCTTGAATTTAACAACTTGCCATTTCTTAGATAGATCACCATCTTTTGGAGGCAGTGTGTGCAGTGGTTCAGAGTGTCGGTTCTCTAGTCAGGTTGTCTAAGGTTGAATCCTGACTTTTTCACTTACTATAAACATGCTTTTGTAATTTCTTTGTTCCCAAGTTGTCTCATTTGTAAGATAGAAATAATAGTATCTACTTCCTCACAGGGAGTTAGGGTTAAATGATTTACTATGTGTACAGTGCGGTTTCTGGCACATAGGGCTTAATAAATACCAGCAAGCCACTGCTACCACTATCACCACCACCATTACTACCGCCTTTGCCATCATCACCATCATTACCACCATCATCTTGTGCTGTCACATGTTTTTGTATGCTTTTATTTTGGCCTGGGACAACCTCACTGTCCCTCCCTGGATGTCTCCTGAATTACTGCCCATCCCGTAAGCTTCTATCTCACTTTATCTTTGAAGCCTTCTCAGCTAAGCCCATCTCACTGCACCGTGCACAACTCGATGTTCCTTTCTCTGTGTTCCATAGCTCTTTGTAAATGCCTTTGTGTTTCCCACTGCATTTGATTGTGTCTTAGCCTAGAAGTTTCTGGACAATAGGGACTTTGCCTTATTCACTGCTCTGTGCTGGCACTTTTCAGGCTCTGACTGAGTATAACTTGGAGAAATGACTGAAACAAAGCTATCCCTTCATGATTTTATATCCATCCCATCATACATTATTCTGAATATGCAGTTATACTAAGAATGATTTGAGATTGGGATTAGTTCCATAAGTCCCATGATTTTGTGCGCACACATTTATACAGGCATGTTTAAGTTTAAGGCATTAAAATAAATTACCAAAGGGATTTTCCCAGGAGTCAATATCTTCCGACCTAGTGCCTGAAGCCATCTACAGATCTTAAAACTGAGTTTAGCCCGTTTACGTTATTGCTTTTCTGCTTCAGCAAATCAATTTTATAAAAATCTTTTTCTGATAATTATCAGTGCAGATGAATTTATTGTGAAGATTTAGAAGATACCGAAAAGTATAAATAAGAAAGCAGATGTTACTTTTAATGCCAGCAGCAAACCATTACAAGAGCGCCACTGTTAACAATTTGGTGCCCATCCTTTCATTCTGTTTCTACATATATAGTTTACATACATATGTATAGACAAACACACACATGCATATATATGGGATTATACTGTGCTTACTATTTCATAAACTTTTTCCCCGTATAGTATATTGTGATTATTTATCACATGATCACTTTCAATGGCTACATGATATTACAGGGTATGGAATTATGTTCCATGGTTTAAGTAATTTGTTATTGTACATTTAAATAATTTTTAATTCTTCAGAAATGCAAACAATACTAACATGAATTTGGTTGCTAATTATTGGTCATTTTTAAAATTTTTGCTTTGGGATAAATTCCTGTAAGTAGACTTGCTAGATAAAAGAGTATGTGCATTTTTTAGAGCTTTTTGTTTGTTTGTTTGTTTGTTTGTTTTTGATATTTATTATTAAGTTGTCCTCCAAGTATTTAGTATTTTAGTAAATTTCTTTACATTCTCACCATCACTGGATATTATTCTCCCTTTTCATTGTTTGTCAGCCAAATAAACAAAAGTGTTCTGATGTTTTAATTTTGGTTTCTTCAGCTATTGCTTAGGTCATTGCCACCCTCTCACACCCTCATGGTTCCTTAGTCATTCATATTTCCTTTTGGGAGATTCCTAAGTTCACATTTTTTGTTAGTTTTCTCTTTATAGTATTAATCTTTTTTCTTAATTTATATGACTTCTCTACCTATTAAAACTATTCATTATTTATCATGTGCTCCATAGGTCTAGTTTAAGTCTTTTAATAATTTAATTTTGGTTTCTTCAGCTATTGCTTAGGTCAT